CAGTGACATCGCCTGTGCCCAACCATTGGCTCTTTACTTAGCTTTCCTAATTCGATATAGAAAAGAATGAGCTCCTCTTAATGTTAATTTTTATTTCTATTTGTTTGATAGAGCCAGGGCCTTCAGCTGGTCACATCCTCTGTCCTTTGATAAATTTTGGTTCCTAAATGGTCTTATTTACTTGATTTATATGTGCTGTGTACATGATAAAGATGTTAACTTGTTTCTGTTCCAGTTGTTTTGTAATTTGTCTTACAGTTTATTTGCTTTCCTGAAGCATAATTAGACATTTTAATGTAGCTATGATCATCCATTTTCTTTTCCTGTTGCCCTCTGAGCTTAAGAGATTTCCCCCTTGCAGAAGCTTGACAATCACAGATAGATATTTTTAAAAAGAAAGCATACATAGGGATATTAAGGGTACTTGTAAGAAATGCAGCAATTTGGGGCTGTTTTTCCTCAAGGCCACATTTACCTCATAATCTCTCCCTCTTTTCCTACTCAGACAGTTTCCCCACAGACATTTTCCTGCGAAAATGGGAAGGCAGATTTTGGGGGGGGATGGTGCTCAAGGATATAATTTATAGTTTTCAGAACACAGAGGGAGTTTGGGAAGGGCAGTTTGAAATAATGTAAAATGAAGAATTCCCTAAGCCTTTTTTACCATAATTTTCTACGGTATATTATCCATTCTTATGACAGAACTGGACAAAGCTTTCAACATAAAACTTTCAGAAAATTTTTATCATGTTTTTACATGCATGCAATCTAAGAAGCAAAATTGTTTTACACTACTTATTAAGGAAAACAGTAGTCCTCAACCCTCACCCTAACCCTATTCCTCTATTCCAACCCACTTTCCTACTTTCTTGCAACTCTGTTTAACTGAATCTCATGGTATTAATATTTACCTTCATTTCCCTTTTTACAGGATTTTTTGTGTATGTGCCTTTCCTCGGGTGTCTAAGTGACAGGGCAATGCTGTTTCTTTATCATTTCTAATACAAGCAGTTACCCACTTCCTGCTGGTGAAGGTCAGGATTTAGAGTCCCGTAACTCTGCACCCCCACATCCACCAGCTTGCATGCATTCAGTGCCTTTTCCTTACCTTCTTTCTCTCCCCAACCAGCCCACTACCAGAGTTAATGCTTCTTACCTTGTCTCCCCAGTGTAGTTTTCTGTCTTTGATTTAACTGAATATTCAGTACTTACATTATTACAGTTTTGTAAATGCTATTCATAGCCTACTCATATACTTTCCTATAATTACTTTTCAACACAATATTTTGTTTCCTACAGAGTTGGTAATTGCCTTGCTTTTTGTTCTGTTAGTTTTCTGTGTATGTACTTACTCCTCCCACCCCCAACCCACGGTGTGACTCAGTCCAGCCACAGGATTGGGTGTCCTGTTAGGGAGGGCTCCCTCTCTAGGCTGGAGCTCTCAGTCCTCCCTTTCTTAGCATCCTAGTAAATCCCATTTCTTCTTTCTTCTGTTTACTCCTTTGGTTTGTAGAGTGTATATTCTGTAATTTCCTGCAAGAAGAGTCATAGGTGGTAAACGTTTTGAAATCTTATGTATGTGAAATGACTTTAGTTTATCTATCCTTGACCTATTCTTTAAGTTTATGCTCAGTTAATAATGGGGCTTTCCTGGTGACTCAGTCGCTAAAGAATCTGCCTACAGTGCAGGAGATGAGGGTTTGATCGCTGGGTCAGAAAGACCCCCTGGAGAAGAGAAATGGCAACCCACTCCAGTATTCTTGCCTGGGGGATCCCATGGATTCCTGGCAGGCTGGCAGGCTGCAGGCTACAGTATGTGGGGTGGCAAAAGAGTTGGACATGACTTAGCAACTATACCACCACCACCACAGTTAATAATATGGCTGGGTATAGAATTCTAAGTTGAAAATCATTTTCCCTCAGAATTTGGAGGCATTTTTCTGAAGCCTTTTCTTTTCTGTTACTGCTTTTGAAAAAGTCTGATTCTTGATCTTTCGTGTGAAGCTTGTTTTTGATCTCTGGCTGCTTTATGGTCTCCTGTTAACCCCAAGTTTCTGAAGTTCCTAACACAGCTGAGTTTAGCTGTGTAATCTGTTTGCTTCTATTGAGCTGGCCTTTCATTGATCCCTTGCAGTTTAGAAATCCATTTCCTCTATGTGATATGTTCAATATGATGTCTTTAACTAGAAATCTTGATCAGTTTTTAAAAGGGAAATTATAATGAAACATGCTTCCCAGAGCCTGAAATATTATCATTTAAATGTCAAAAGGGGATTATGGTCATTAAATTGGCTAACCAGAATTTAAGAGAGTGCTGACAAACGTAGAATACAGACAGTCACGTATTTCATTTGCCAGAGCAAATAAAAGCTTCAGTGAATAAGTTGTTCTTGCCATTGATTGCTCTAGTATCCAGTCTTTCAGAGAAAGATAGATTTATTTATAAACTTTTATTAAAAGGAAAAACATACACTTCTATTTTTCTGGGCTACAAAATCACCGCAGGTGGTGACTGCAGCAATGAAATTAAAAGACGCTTACTCCTTGGAAGGAAAGTATGACCAACCCAGACAGCATATTAAAAAGCAGAGACATTAGTTTGCCAACAAAGGTCCGCCTAGTCAAGGCTGTGGTTTTTCCAGTGGTCACGTATGGATGTGAGAGCTGGACTATAAAGAAAGCTGAGCACCAAAGAATTGATGCTTTTGAACTGTGGTGTTGGAGAAGACTTTTGAGAGTCCCTTGGACCCCAAAGAGATTCAACCAGTGCATCCTAAAGATCAGTCCTGAGTGTTCTTTGGAAGGACTGATGTTGAAGCTGAAACTCCAATACTTAAGTCAGCTCTTCTCATCAGGTGGCTAATTTGAAAAGACCCTGATGCTGGGAAAGATTGAAGGCAGGAGGAAAAGGGGATGACAGAGGAATGAGATGACTGGATGGCATCACCGACTCAATGGACATGAGTTTGGGTAAACTCATGGGAGTTATTGATGGAGAGGGAGGCCTGGCATGCTATGGTCCATGGGGTCACAAAGAGTCGGACAGGACTGAGCAACTGAATTACACTACCCATGTAATTTCAGAAGGTTGAAAGTACATTCTACCCAGTCCCTAGCTTTAGTTTGGTCCCCTAAAATCATGTACCCCCCAAAATTCACTTATTTGATTTTCCAGTGTCCACCTGCTTTAGCTATTAAGTCAGCAGAACATTTACCCTCTAGGCCAAGGGTCCCCAACCTCTGCAATCTAGTGCCTGATGATCTGAGGTGGAGCTGATGTAATATAATAGAAATAACATGCACAATAAATGTAATGTGCTTGAATTATCCTGATACCATCCCCGGTCCAGGGAAAAGTTGTCTTCCATGAAATTGGTCCCTGGTGCCAAAAAGGTTGGGGACTGCTGCTCTAAGTCAAGTGTGTGAAATAGATCTTTGAATTTTTCTCAGAGTTTTCCCCCCAAATGTCAGTTAAGGTAGTAAATCAGTCAGTGTTTATCAGTGTAAAGAAAAATATTTAGTAACTAACCATGACATGGTTGGATGGCATCACTAACTCGATGGACATGAGTTTGAGCAGGCTTCAGGAGTTGATGATGGACAGGGAAGCCTGGTGTCTACAGTCCATGGGGTCATGAAGTTGGACACTACTAAGCAACTGAACTGAACCATCTGCTAACACCTGCTGTAAAAAGAGCTCACATCTAAGGAGAGCTCTGAAGCTGCATGCTTCACCTCTAGGCCAACAGTCTTCGGGGGCCATCAGAACAGCAGTGAACGTTGAGCAGGCACACTTCATTCGGGGGCGTGGGAGGTTTTACATGTCCTAATGTAAATTTGTAAAGGAAAAACACTCCAGCATGTCTCCTGAGTCCCAGATCCCCTGCTGAATACTTCTATAACTAGATGTATGGGTTTTTACCTCCAAACAAGCAAATGTCTCTCTGTAAGTCCATTATGGCACTGTCTGCCTGGAAATAACATCAGATCCCACAGGTTAAAGGCTCAGTCTCACACCAAATCCCCCCCGCCCTGACTTCAGAATGCTAATTGCTGCTTCAGACTGTTGCCTGTACTGCTTATCAGCTAGCTGTAAATTGGAGGTTCCTATGACCCCCTCCTTGGAGTTGGTTAATTTGCTAGAGCTCCTCACAGAACTCAGGAAAACATTTTACATACTAGTTGAGCAGTTTTATTATAAAAGAGTACAACTTAGGACCAGTCACATGGAAGAGACATGTAGGGTAAGGTATATTGATAGGAGTGTGTACTGCACTCCCCACATCTTCACATGTTCACCAGCCTAGAAACTCTCCAAACCCCATCATCCTTTTAGATGTCTGTGGAGGCTTCATTATATAGCCATGGTTGATTAAATCACTGGCCGTTGGTGATCCACTCAGCCCCCAGTGTCTTTCCCCTCCTTGGAAGTGGGAGGAAGTGGGAATGAAATTCTAACCCTCTAGTCACCTGGTTGGTTCTCCTGGCAATCACCCCCTATCTTTCGGGACTTTCCAAAAGTCACTTTAAACTCAGGAACATGAACCCAGGTGTGGTTGAAAGGGGCTTTTATGAATAACAAAAGACTCCTTTGACTTCCCAGTGGTGAAGAACCCACCTGCCAATACAGGAGACGTAAGAGGTGCAGGTTTGATCCCTGGGTCAGGAAGATCCTCTGGAGGAGGGCAAGGCAACCCGCTCCAGTATTCTTGCCTGGAGAATTCCTTGGATGGAGAAGCCTGGCGAGCCGTAGTTCACAGGGTTGCAGAGAGTCGGACATGACTAACGTGACTGAGCACGCGTGCAGACACCTTTATCTCGTCCGTCTCAGGAAGTCGCAGAGGTCGTAGGAGCTCTATGCCAGGAACAGGGACAAAGACCAAATAATATTTCTCACTATAAATCACAGCATAGTAAAACTTAATTCTGAACATAAGTTGTAATCATGGCCTACTTGTATGTGGCTTAGTAATGAGTCTGATTTCCTCTTCTCCCACCAGCTTTTTGGAGACTGGGAAGCCCAGCTGCGGAGGATAATGAAACTCATCGCTGGCGGCGGCCTGTCCATCACAGGCTCCCACAACATGTGTGGGGACTACCTGTACAGTGGCCACACGGTCATGCTCACACTCACCTACCTATTCATCAAAGAGTGTAAGTCTAGCGCGGCCTTCTGTGAGAATCTCCTCACCTGCCGTTGCCCACGGTTTCTGGAAAGTCCACAGGAGCAAGATGGGATCTCGGGAGGGCAGCCCCACGCTCCAGTATTCTTGCCTGGAGAATTCCTTGGATGGAGAAGCCTGGCGAGCCGTAGTTCACAGGGTTGCAGAGAGTCGGACATGACTAACTTGACTGAGCACGCATGCAGACACCTTTATCTCGTCCGTCTCAGGAAGTCGCAGAGGTCGTAGGAGCTCTATGCCAGGAACAGGGACAAAGACCAAATATATATTTCTCACTATAAATCACAGCATAGTAAAACTTAATTCTGAACATAAGTTGTAATCATGGCCTACTTATATGTGGGTTAGTAATGAGTCTGATTTCCTCTTCTCCCACCAGCTTTTTGGAGACTGGGAAGCCCAGCTGCGGAGGATAATGAAACTCATCGCTGGCGGCGGCCTGTCCATCACAGGCTCCCACAACATGTGTGGGGACTACCTGTACAGTGGCCACACGGTCATGCTCACACTCACCTACCTATTCATCAAAGAGTGTAAGTCTAGCGCGGCCTTCTGTGAGAATCTCCTCACCTGCCGTTGCCCACGGTTTCTGGAAAGTCCACAGGAGCAAGATGGGATCTCGGGAGGGCAGCCCCGCGCCTCACTAGCGTGCTCACACCCAGCAGGCACCCAGGGAAATACACGTCACAAGTACCTGTACTTCTTGGGGGAAGTGTCTCGTTTCCTTAGCTGTCAGCTGTGGTATCAGGGTGTTTTATGACTGCTGGAAGGAGCCAGAAGGGAGGAGACAAAATTCCAGGCCTGGCTGGATGATGGTAGATGTTGTGTTCACTTGGCAGCCATTTTTCAGGCACTGGCCGCTATACCATCTGCTCTAAAGAAGCACATGGGGATTGGTGGTGTCTCTTCCCTCAGACAGGCGCTCTCAGGGAAACTAAATGATGCAGACATTAAATGGGACATTTCTTTTAAAAATGTACTTAAAATACTTTATTATGAAACATACAAAAAATAATATTACAGGTACCCCTGTATGCTGCTCAGATTTAATATAAGTATTTGTCATATCTGTTTCAGATGACCCTTGTCAAAAAAAGGAAATATATATTAATATATATTTTCTTGTTATTAATATACATATAATTATAATATATATTATTAATATATAATAATATATTAATATATATCTGAAGTTTTTCATTCTTTCCCCCTCCCGCTTTCCTCTGTTATTTCTCAGGTGTGTTTTAGTCCTTTCTCTACTTGTAGAAAATTCCATTGTCCTTAATATTCTACTGTTAGAAATAGTCTCAGTGAGCTTTATCTAGGCAGTTCCCATCAAGAGCAACAAGAGAAACCAGGCTGTGGGTATCACAGAGGAGGGACACCCTTTGCATTCTGGAGGTATTTAAGAGCCTGTGGCACCTGTCAGTGTGGTTGGAATTCAGAGAGGTGGTAATAATGAGAATTGAAAAGTGAACTGCTGAGGAGGCACCAGATTGTGAAACATGCCTTGAGTCACAAGAAGGGGTCTGAATTTGCATTCTGACAGACATGAAGTGCCCATTGAGAGGCTGTACGCACTGGGGTGGTGTCGTCTGATTTGTCCTTTAGAGAGGGAGAAACCACCCCTGTAATGACCCACAGGATGGATTGGGGAGGGCAGAGCAGGAGTCAGCAGGCTGGCTGCCGCTGTAGTCCCAGAAAGAGATGGGAGTGGCCAGGCTATCAGGATGACAGTGGTGTGGAGAGGAGTGGGGGAGACTGGGAGAAATTCACAAAAAGGAGTCTGCAGGTAAGAGGATTGATTGTGGGAGTGCAGGGGACAGGTGATGGACTGAAGGGTGAAAGCCCAATTTAGGTCTTAAAAACCGGGGATGGGGAACACGGGAAGAGAAGAGAAGATGTACTTCGGGAAACCGAGTGGGAAGAGAGACCGTAGGTACTCTGCTTGTTCTTAGTAAGTGACCAGATGGAGTGGGTTCGAGCAGTGTCTGTTCACAGCTGTCAGGCCTGATCTGGCCCTGGCACTGGAGTGTAACTGGGCATGGGAAATGGGCACAGAACAGGCCTTACGCCAGCAGCCTGCTGCTGGTTGTTCCCTGAAATACTTCAATGGGGTTTAGCTTTATTCTTGAAGATGAGACTGTAAACCAAGTTGGATGATGTGGGTCACAAACTGATTGTGAATCCTGGTGCTATCACTTACTCACTCCGTGACCTTGGGAAAAACCTCTGATCTCTGTAAGTCTTAGTTTCCTCATCCTTAGAATCAGGTACTGATAGCTCCTTCATGGCTTTCCCAGTGGCTCAGCAGATAAAAAAATCCACCCGCTAGTTCAGGAGACACAGGTTCAGTCCCTGGGTCCAGAAGATCCCCTGGAGGAGGAAATGGCAACCCACTCCAGTATTCTTGCCTGAGAAATCCCATGGACAGAGGAGCCTGGCGGAACCCTACGTCCATGGGGTTCCAAAGAATCAGAGACGACGGAGCAGCTAAGTACACACACACACAACGCCTTCATCAGTGAGGGAGAGGTTGTGAAAATTAAAGCAGATGGCATATGGGGACAGTAACAGAGGAGCTGGGGGAGTGAACAGCAGCTGCTCTTTGTTATTGTGTTGTTATGGTATCAAATACAACTCTTCCTGGAAAGGGAACATGGAGCCCTGTACATACACTAAGACCTCTGCCCCAACCCCTGACCGTGGCATTTAAACCTGCAAATGTCCCTCCCTCACCCTCTCTGCTGCTAATCCCGCTTATCTTAAATCCAGAGCATTTAACACCTTCTAACATAGAGTATAGGTTACTTGATTATAATTATTATTTATTGTCTCTTTTCATTACTGGGAAGGGATCTTCCCACAAAGGCAGACTGTTTGCCTGTGAGGTTCATTGATCCCAAGATCTAGTGACTAGATCTTGTCCTGGCTACATTGTAGATGTTTAATAAATAGTGGGTAAATGAATGACTGATACTTGGACCCCCTGAGAATCCTATAAAAGGCTAAACTGTCTTACCCAGGGTGAGGAGGGTACATCACATTCAGACAACATTTTTGCCTAACGTATCAGATCCTCTGAAGCACATTCATGGAGAATACATGGTAGAAGGGCCTATACCAGTAGAGATTTTGAATCTCCCAACAAGTGACTTCCCAGACACTGTCCTGCCCTTGGGAGTGTACCTGGGCTAGAATTCCTGGTCACCTGGATTCTTGTATTTGAGAAATGGACACCTCAAAGACTTAAAAAGTAGCATATGGTTGCAGAGCTGGGAAAGCAAATAGAGTGGCTGTATCAATTGTAGTTGTCTAGTCTGTATATAGGGATCCATAGACCAAAAGGTATTGATTTTTGTACAGAGCATTAACCCCATATTATTTGCAGGTAAATTTAATTATCAATAGACAGTTTTGTTTTTAATGGAGTGTGATGCATTAACCTGTCCTTGTTTGTCCTTTGAAACTGTATTTATGATTATATGGGTCAAGTAATAACCACATATAAATTACCATGGCTAATAAAATCACTTGGTGAAATAAGCCGCTTCCCTTCTAACCTTGGTTGCATGGACGCCAAAGCCCTTGGATTTGCCACCCTAAGCAATCTGTTTTCAGAAGGAAAGACCCAAGGTGATTGGACTCAGAATGAATAGTTGAGGCGTGGTTGGGCGCCCTTCGTCATACGTGACTAATAGCACTCTTCTTTCAACTTTCTCCTCCGCAGATTCCCCTCGACGACTGTGGTGGTACCACTGGATCTGCTGGCTTCTCAGCGTGGTGGGGATCTTCTGCATTCTCTTAGCGCATGACCACTACACTGTGGACGTGGTGGTGGCATACTACATCACCACAAGACTCTTCTGGTGGTACCACACTATGGCCAATCAGCAAGTGAGCTTTTCTCCTCCTTTGTGTTACCTCCTAATGCTCTTGACTAGCTGTTGCTGGTGTGGCAACAGGGGGAGTCAACTGAGACTAGATCGTCTCCTAACCACTTCTGAATCAAAGTGATGCTGATCTACTTCTGAATCAAAGCTGAACCAGAAATATGTTTCTATAATGACATAGGAGATGGCATCCTTCTAGAACAAGTATCACATTCTCATCGTCCCTGGAAAATACTTTTTTAAGCTGTGCCCACCTCTTGCTTGATCTTGCATTCCTACCTTGTTTTCCATCTTGGGCCCCTCACCAGCTTAATACTTAACATTTAATTAAGTCGCTCCATTTTCATCCTAGGAGAGTAACTAAAGCACTAATTGAAGGATTTATTTATAGACAAGAGACTTAAGTAAGCCACACGTTTTCCATGTACTCCTGGCATTGGAGTTGTTTGTTTCTCTGCTAGAGAAACAGGTGTGGTCTGGTTTGCAGTTGGGTACAGAGTGTAGAATGGTGGTGTGCGTGTGAACCTGAGGCCATAAAGGTGATCCAGGGGCTGGATCTGGGGGCCTTTGTGGATTTTAATATGGAAAATATTTGAACCTAAAGTGAAAAATTATGAGAATCATGTGTATGTTCCTATCAGGGCTGAAACAATCAGTTGTTCTTCCTGACTCGGTTTTCTCTTTCTGTGTTCTCTTAGGTGCTAAAAGAAGCTTCCCAGATGAACCTCCTGGCCAGAGTGTGGTGGTACAGGCCATTTCAGTACTTTGAAAAGAATGTCCAAGGAATTGTACCTCGATCTTATCACTGGCCCTTCCCCTGGCCAGTAATCCACCTTGGTAGGCAAGTTAAATACAGCCGACTGGTAAATGACACCTAACAGCTCTACATGGTGGGGAAAAGAGGAACTGTCCGAAGTGCTAAGAACTCCATGAGAGAAGATGCCATAAAATAAACAACTCCCCTAATCCTATTATCTTTCAACAATTACCTTGACTAAACCTATTGAGTTACCTGGTCAGCACTGTGATCTTTTTTTCTCTCCAAAGGACCTGCGTTGGACAACAATAAAGAAAACTCAACCTATCATACACTGTACACATTTCCTGTTCATAAGTTTGGGATTTACATAATCTGCGACCACCATGTTCCTTTGTATATGATGCAACAGCATAAATGTAAGCTTTTATATCATCAGTTCTGGTCTTTCCAGTTACATCTGGAAATAAAGCGTATTATTTTCTTGGGAAAACATACTTTTCATATCTCTTGCCCCAAAGATTGGGCTGTAAGCCATTTTCTAGCAAATGTCTCTATGAAGGTTTCTTAAGTACCTGAATGGGGTTCGATTCTGAAATCTTTCTACCTGTTGCACCGATATTCAAATAAAAATGACAGACACAGGAAGGTTTGGTAACTTTGGGTTTTGTAAAAATCAGCAGAGACAGTGTGTCAAAAAGTGCAAAAAAAAAAAAAAAGATTCTGTTATAAAGTGATTTTCTAAGTATTTCCTAACTTTATTTTTCAAAATGATGTTATGAAAACCAAATTTAAAGATTTTTACATGTCAGAGAACAGAGAGTTAAAATTTAAAAATGCTTCTTGGGAGAGAAATTTGTCTATGTTTCTAGTGCCTTTCTTGTCTTGATTGTATGGTCAGTAGGCAATCTTCAATGTTTTTATTTAAAATAAATATTCCATGAAAATATAAATGTATGTATACACTACTAAATTTTGCATTTATAGCTAAATTCAATCAGAAGACTGTTTATGGTTCTCAAAATGCTATGAATTAAAGAATGGGGGAATTAATTGGAAAGTCAGAGCCTGTTCCCATATTGTGAGCAGGTGGCAATGACATGTACCACTTCAATTATTTTACCATCTATTTGGTAGTTCGATTTTAACTATACAATGAAAACAGCCATGAATACTTTGTTTTTAAAAAGAGAGTTTTGAAAATGATCACTTAACTAAAACTTGAAAGCTATAAATTAGTTCTCCATACTCTCATGACAATTTTGTTGGTGAACAACAAAAAAGAGATCTATTTCTTTAAAATATATTTGTGCAGGAACTGCATGTAGTTCTAAGTTTTACTCCTAACAGAAGTATGTTTGGGGAAGTATTCTATTCTATACTTGCCAATGTGGAGAACAAAATAGTTTTTTAAGGATGAAGAAGTATATATATCCATTCTGTATTTTATGTGCAGCAGAATTATCTTCCGTAGGGTTTTTTGTGTATTCACAAGGTGATATTTGTATTGTAAAACAATAATGGTGAAGGAAATAAAAAGGCTTTTAAAATTTTGTTTGTTTTAAATCTTTGTAAAGTTATTATTCCAGAGAGTATACTGATTATCTTAACAGCTTACCTAGATCATAAATTAATCAAGATGCACTTTTTAATAAAAACTGATACTTAAAGAAATGTCTGCTCTTTCTAATGTGTTCACATTCTTCACAAGAGTCATAAATGAAATCCTTGAAGCAAGATGTAGAAACAAGTTTTGGCATTTCCTCACTGAGTTTGTTTGAGAGATGGCCTTTATAATCATGTTTCTTTTCCCTTGAGATTCTTTGAAATGTACTCTAAACTTCAGTATAACCTCTACAGATAGCATGTATTTTTAAAAACATAAGAAAAGATTCACAGCTAAGTTCAAATTGCAGACCACTGTTTACTAATAATTTTCAATTCTCCAGTTCTCAATCAAGTCATTTACTTCCCCCCCCCACCCCCATAACTGAAAGCAATATAAGTTTTTCAGTTTAGATGGAAAGGGAAAGTAAATTCCAAAATGAGAAATACGGTCATAGTACTTTGACAATCAGTGGTAAGAAAAACTTTTTAAAGAGGAAAAAAATATGTTATTCTTGATGTGGGAAAAAAATGAGGTTGTTAACAGTGGAAACCTGTTCATGTGAAGGGAAGCTGTTGTCTTAACCTGGGAGGCTACAGCTGTAAAACTAGAAAGATTTCCTGCGTGGGGCCAGATGCCGTATTTTAAAAAGGTAAGTAACTTGAATGATGAAAATGAATTCTTGACATATGCTAAAAACAGCATTTTTTCCCCTAAATCAAAAGTTATATTTAAAAAAATCATTAAAGTTTACCTGCTACATTTGTACCAAGAAGTTCCCTTAATGGTTGTTCTTCATGCCTGGCTGTGTAGAATCATGAATTGACATATCTTGTGGCTCTCAAGTTTGCAACTTCCAGGTAGAAAAAGAGAAATCTTATGTTCTGGAGAATTGTACTATACTTGATAATGACTGCCAGAATGAGGACACGTGCTTTTCTGTGCTTTGGTTTAGTAAGCCAGAGCCCTGGACCATAGCTTCTTTATCTAACACTCTTAAGAGTTAGGCAATTCTCAAGCATTATCTTGTTAACCCGTACAGCACCACAAGGTTCCTTATTAACCCCATTTTATGGAGCTTGGTTTAAGTATGTTTAATAACTTTCCCAAGGGCATGCAACTGATAAAAATCTGATTGAGGTTCAAGTTTTCACCGACTGTGTAGAATCATGAATTGACATATCTTGTGGCTCTCAAGTTTGCAACTTCCAGGTAGAAAAAGAGAAATCTTATGTTCTGGAGAATTGTACTATACTTGATAATGACTGCCAGAATGAGGACACGTGCTTTTCTGTGCTTTGGTTTAGTAAGCCAGAGCCCTGGACCATAGCTTCTTTAACCAAAAACCCTAAGAGTTAGGCAATTCTCAAGCATTATCTTGTTAACCCGTACAGCACCACAAGGTTCCTTATTAACCCCATTTTATGGAGCTTGGTTTAAGTATGTTTAATAACTTTCCCAAGGGCATGCAACTGATAAAAATCTGATTGAGGTTCAAGTTTTCACCCACTCCTCGACACCCTCTCCACCCACATACTGTGAGCTTTCATAAATTCTTCAGCAGGAGTCCACAGTGAGAGAAATCTGAATGTGGTAGTCAAGCTAAGCAGAGTGACTTACTGTGAACCAAGTACCAGGGAATTCACACCATGAGGTAGAGCGACTCATTTTGCCAGTTTCTGATTGTTGTATTTGTTTTATTTATATCCCAAGCAAAAACCGAAATTGATAAATATGACAAGTATCTCAAAATTATAAATATTACATAAAACGAGAGTGCCTGCTAGCTTTTTTTTTTAAGTTTTTATTAGAGTATAGTTGATTTACAATGTTGTGTTTCAGCTGTACCATAAAGTGAATCAGTTTTACATGTATCCACTCTTTTTTAGATTCTTTTCCCATATAGGTCATTATATAGAGCCTATGGAGTAGAGTTGCCTGTAGAATACAGTAAGTCCTTGTTAGTTACCTATCTTATATCTGTATATGTCAACCCCAGTCTCCCAGTTTCTCTCTCTCATCTCTCCTCTGGTAACCATAAGTTTGTTTTTTCGACATCTGTGACTGTTTCTGTTTTGCAAGTAAGTTCATTTGTACCACTTTTTTAGATTCCACATATAAGCAATATCATCTATTTGTCTTCCTCTGACTTCCTTCACTCCATGTGACAATCTCTAGGCCCATCCATGTTGCTGCAAATGGCATTATTTCATTCTTTTTTATGGGTGAGTAGTATTCCATCGTATATATGTACCATATTTATCCATTCCCTTATCCTCTGTGGATGATAATTTAGGTTGCTTCTGTGTCTTGGCATTGTAAATAGTGCTACTGTGAATGCTGGGGTGGGTGTATCTTTTTGAATTATGGTTTTCTCCAGATGTATGCCCAGGAGTGGGATTGTTGGATGAATGGTAGTTCTGTATTTAGTTTTTTAAGGAACCCCCATACTGTTCTTAGTGGTTGTACCAATTTACATCCCACCAGCAGTGAAGGAGGGTTCCCTTTTCTTCACACCCTCTCTAATATTTATTGTTTGTAGATTTTTTTGATGATGGCCTTTCTGACCTACTTGAAGTGATACCTCATTGTAGTTTTGATTTGCATTTCTCTAATAATTAATGATGTTGAGCACTTTTCATGACAATATCATCTATTTGTCTTCCTCTGACTTCCTTCACTCCATGTGACAATCTCTAGGCCCATCCATGTTGCTGCAAATGGCATTATTTCATTCTTTTTTATGGGTGAGTAGTATTCCATCGTATATATGTACCATATTTATCCATTCCCCTGTCCTCTGTGGATGATAATTTAGGTTGCTTCTGTGTCTTGGCATTGTAAATAGTGCTACTGTGAATGCTGGGGTGGGTGTATCTTTTTGAATTATGGTTTTCTCCAGATGTATGCCCAGGAGTGGGATTGTTGGATGAATGGTAGTTCTGTATTTAGTTTTTTAAGGAACCCCCATACTGTTTTTAGTGGTTGTACCAATTTACATCCCACCAGCAGTGGAGGAGGGTTCCCTTTTCTTCACACCCTCTCTAATATTTATTGTTTGTAGATTTTTTTGATGATGGCCTTTCTGACCTACTTGAAGTGATACCTCATTGTAGTTTTGATTTGCATTTCTCTAATAATTAATGATGTTGAGCACTTTTCATGTGCTTTTCGGCCAGCCATATGTCTTCTCTGGAGACTTAAGCTTCTGCCCATTTTTTGAGTGAAAGTTTTTTTGTTTTTTGTTTTTGAGCTGCATGAGCTGTTTGAGATTAATCCCTTGTTGGTTGCTTTGTTTGTAAATATTTTCTCCCATTCTGTGGGTTGTTTTTTCATTTTGTTTATGGTTTCCTTTGCTGTGCAAAAACTTTTAATTAGGTCTCATTTGTTTGCTTTTATTTTCATTATAGTAGGATGTGGTTCCAAAAAGATGTGCTGTGATTTATGTCAAAGAATCTGCTTTTACTTTACTCTAAGAGTTTTATAGTGTCTGGCCTTACATTTAGGTCTTTAATCCATTTTGAGTTGGTTTTTGTGCATGGTGTTAGAGAATATTCTAATTTCATCCTTTTACATGTAACTGTTCAGTGTTCCCAGCACCACTTACTGAAAAGACTTGTCTTTTCTCCGTTGTATATTCTTGCCTCCTTTGTCAGCCTGTTAACACTAATTTGACCACCACTATACAAAAAGTCAGGTTTTCAATTAACTGGGAAATGGGATATGCTCCTTGGAGCCCTTCATATTGACACACCTTTTTCTCTTTTTGGTGGGGAAACTCGTTTTGAGCAAATCAAAGCTGCTGTCTTGAAATTCTGCTTATCAGCACCTTAACATTCTTGTCTGTCTGCTGGCCCAGAGAGCAAATAAGCAGAAACTTAAACAGTGCCTGCCTTCAGAGGGCCCAGACTCCAGCTCCCCCAGGAGGGCAGAGATGGCATGATGAGTGAGAGCTGGACTAAGAGTGAGGGGAAGTGACAAGGAAGAAGGCTGGATTCGGGCCCCAGAGGATGTAGAGGGTTCAGAGAGTGGCTGAGGCGGCAGCATTCCAGCAAGGCACAGAAGGATGTTGCGAATGGCTCTGGTTTGCTCTTGGTGAGACGAATGAAGTGAGGATTTATGTAAGAGTTCCTATTTATCATGTGTTTCAGAAATCCTGTTAATTCTTGAGCCCTGATGTGGCACAGTGGTATGATTTAGCATCAAATGATTGAGAAAATACACGCTTATGAATTAGAAATGTCCTCAAGAGAATTTGTGGTTTATTAATCACAATAGCATATATGGACTACTTGGTCAATGGGAATAATACTTATTTATATAAGAGCCATTATTCCGTTAACACATCAAGGTTTTTGTGTGTAAAGATTTGAGGATCTCTTGAGCTTCTTGGGGAAAGCTTACCCCAGAGATTATAAGGCAGAGTTCAGTGAAATAGGCAGAGTCCTTTTTTTTTCTTTCAAAGTTTAGCAACAACAAAAAAAAGAGTGCAGATCCAGAGGCCTATGTAACCTGCAGTGTCATGGTTTCTGAGTCAAAGGTGTGTGGCTACAGGGAGCAGGAATGGCATTTCAGGTGAGGACAAAGAAAGGCTCTAACACCCAAGAGGAACCAACCCAGAGTCCCCTCTTAATCCCATGGTGGCCCAGAACCACACAAATGTTGCTGTTTTGTTCTTAGGTGTACACACACTAGGGCTGTTTTCATTTTGTTGGAGAACTGACCCCTTTATTTTTTTGAGCTTTGTATTTTGTATTGTGGTGCAGCTGATGGACAATGTTGTTGTAGTTTCAGGTGAACAGCGAAGGGACTCAGCCATACATATACATGTATCCATTCTCCCCCAAAGTCCCCTCCCATCCAGGCTGCCACATAACATTGAGCAGAGTTCCATATGTTATAGAGTAGGTCCTTGTTGGTTATCCATTGTAAATTTAGCAGTGTGTACATGTCCATCCCA